GTCCAGGGGCGGGCCAGCGACTGTGCGACTGTTGGGAGTCGCCCTTCCCAGCGGCCTGGGTCTGGGACGGAAGAGCGATGCAGCCGCCGAACCTGGGGAGCACGAGTGCGTGCAGACTGTCCGGTCCTCTGTGCGGGTTAGAAGCGGGACGGCCACCCGCCGGCTCCGCGCAGGCGACAGCTGTGCGCCCGCAAGTGCCGGCCGCCGCTCTGCCTGCCCGTCCCCGCGCGGCCAAACCCGGCCCGTCACTGAGACCCATCCGCGCGCAGAACTGCACTGCCCTTCTGCCTCCAAAAGTGTGATCCCACGTCGGGCCGCGCCACCGCACCTTATAGTAGAAAGTGACGGCCGTGTCGGCGCCAGGCGTCCCCGCCAGCAGCGACGTCTGCGCCACCTTGTTCCTCTGCAGATCAAGGTTCATCCCCAGGCGCTCAAACCCCATGCCGCGGCCGTTGTCCACGATCTGACCCGCCCTCTGCCACAGCCCGGGGATGACCTTCGGGGTCGCCGGGTCGGCCGGGTTCAACGGGCGAAAGGCTTCAATGAACGCCCCCGCCCCTGGAGCCGCCGCCGCAGCGGCCGGCGCAGTCGCCGGCGCCGGCGACGCGGGCGCAGGCGGGCCGGCGACGGGGCCCAACAGCAGGGGCGAGGGCGGCCCCGGCTGGGGCGCGGCGGGCGCTGGCGAGATGGGCGATATGAGGGGCACCGCATCTGGTGATGATGCGGCCGAGGCCGCCACCGCGGGCAGCAAGCGGTCGCCGGGGCCCGCCGCCGGCAGGAACGCCGCCCCCGCCGCGCCCGCGCCCGCTGCCCCCACGCCTGCGCCTGCGGCCGCGCCGGCGCCCTCGGCGCCGTCGCCGGCGGCCGGCAGGGTGACGTCATCGATGTACAGCCTGCAGTCGCTGCCGGGCGCCCCGCGGTACGTCCACCTCAGCGCGAACGCGCCGGCCGCGGACAGGGGCGGCCTGACCTTCACCTTGGTCCACCCCTCCCCTGCCAGGTTAGCGCCCGCCCTGGACCACAGCGGCCGCCAGCCGCGGCCCTCGGCCCAGCCGTCGACCGCTAGCTGCGCCGCCGGGGCCGTGTTACACGGGACAAACTGGGAGGGGCGCGGGCGCAGGGGAGGCAGTGCGTGAGACGGCGCTTTGCCTGCTGCGCGTGTGTGCGAGAGGGGACTGGTCGGGGCGGGACGCCACACGCGGGAGCGTCGACCCGTTTTGAGGGAGGGCTCCCACGCTAGGCAAAGAGGCTGCATGCAGGCGGCGCAAACCGCACCTTGTAGTAGAAGACCGCGGGCACCCCCGTCCCGTCCGACACCATACGTTTCGTTTCCATTACCCGCTGCCCGCCCTGCTCGAGCACTGCGGAGGCCGCGTCGCCCCTGCCAACGCCGCCGGCGCCCCCGGCCAGCAGCCACCGCCCGGGGTCCGCCGGGCCGCCGGGCGTGAAGGACTCGACCAGCTCTGCTTGCGCGCCGCGCGGCGCCAGCAGCAGCGCGAGGAGCGCGCCGAGGGCGGGCGCGTGGCGGGCGGCGCGGCGCGACGGGGAACGCGAGCTCATGGCGGCCTGGCGGCGGAGACCAAACGGCGGGCGCGTCCGGGCGGGCGGCGACGGGGTCGTGGGGGGCGTGTTTGCGAGGTGCGGTGCACCAGTATGTTCCTCTGACGCTGCTCGGCTGGCTGGCGGCGCAGGCATTGCTGCCGTTGATTTGCGCCGCTCTGGGGGCGGGGTGGCACCCACATGCCCAACGCCACAACGCGAGTGATGCAGCCACTCTGCCACCGCGATGGTCGCAGAGCTGGGTGGGTGATGCCGCTTGCCAGGTACCCAGCACCGCTCACATCCGTTTCAGGTGTTGTTAGGGACGAAAAGGTCTTGGGACTGGGCCGAAAACAGAGAAGATCGGATGGGATTTTTGGCACTCGTGCGCGACACACAGAACACGGTGAGCTAGAACATCAGCAACCTAGCTCGTCATTTGCGAAAAACAAGCGTTTCGGGTTGCTCGGGGCCCGTCTAGTGTGTTGGGGTGGGCTGGCATGAGCGTCGCGTGACCGACGAGGGACCTGGAGACGTGAAGATATCACCAGATGACGCTACATCAAACACGATGCGACCGCTGCAGCGGCCACGCCGTCCTGATCCCGCCTGCAGCCCCCCCGCCGTCCGAAAGACTACGGTAGCTTGACAGTCAATGACAGGCCCCGCCTCATCAGTAGGGGCCTGGCCGCAGCCGTCCCTCCGCGCTTGCGGATCAAGCGTCCAGCCTGAACCCGTCAGACTGCGACACGGCCCCGCATCATGATCGGCTCAGCATAAGAAGGTTTTGCACCACGCTGGGAGTGACACCAAGGTACCGTCTCTCTGTGTCCTCTGCGTCGTGATGCGTGCTGGAGGGCTGCAAGGTTTGAATGCTTGCAAGATTGGCGCTCAAATAGAAGTACACCTCGACTACCTTGGAGTCGTAGTCGGCCGTCACCGTCTCACCATCTCTCAAATGATACCACTCTCATGCACACTCAGTCCCTCATCTGCCGGCTGTTGCGTAATCACTGGTGCAGGGCGCGCTGAGCCATTCACAAGCCGCAGGTTGCGAGCCAGGTTTGCCCGCAGCCAGGCTTGCTGGCCGCCCAGCTTGGCCACTCGCATTTTACGCAACATGCCCTAAGAGTGATTGCAGTACGCCCTGGCTTGAAATGTGCGCGATCACGTTGCCACCTCTCCACGAGGACGCGATCGAGCTCGGGGGAGGTGGGCGCTGCCCGGCTGACGCCCGGTCGGCATTCCGGCATTGGTCACTGCACTTTGCCCCGCATGCCCTCTTGCTGCCACTTCGCCGTCCTTAACTTGCAGTTGTCAGCTGCATGCTGCGCGCCGCTCTAGGGCATTGGCCTCAGTGGGCATGCAGGCCGCATGTGGGGGTGCACGACTGTGTGCACGGAAGTGTTCTTCTGCCTCCCCCTCTGCGGCCGCCCTCCTCCAAATTTCGATTGTATCGCCCGCCTTCGCATCTTAACTGCCTGCCAACGAAACATCCTAAATAACTCAATTCAGCATTGGTGCAGGAGGTTCGCTGCACCAGGGAGAAAGAAAGTGGTAGAGGTACATATCACAGCATAACTTGGTGTGAAGCAAGCGCCAATTTGTGTGCTGACCACAGCCAGCAAGGCAGACGTCATGCGTGCCGATAAGAAGATCATTCACATTGCAAAGCAGCCCCCTCTCTTTGCTGCGGACGGCACGTAGGTTATCCGACTCATTTGTATTTGGGATTAATCTGCGCGCTGCCGCCTGTATGTGCAGGTGGCAGACAGCCCGATGAGCCAGAGGCTACAGGTGGCGTGATCACTGCGTTCACTGAAAGAGGTCGATGCTGGGGGGGGATGCAGCAGCTAGCAGCGCTATAACACAGGTTCTTTGCAGATCTGAGCTTGAACTCCAGCAGACTGGTGTTTCGTCCGTGTGGCCGCCACAGCTTCAGTGCCCTAGAAGCGGTCCCGGGCTGCGAGGCCCGCCTGGAATTGGCACTCGTGCCAGCATAGGTACACCAGCTGGAGGGCAAGCATCGGGGACAGGGCGGATTGGGCATGACCTCGCGCCCTGCAGCAAGCGGCGCCGTGGCCTGCACCGGCGGCGGCGCCGCACCGGTCAAACCTGGGTCAAACCCCCTGTCAGAGTATCATAGGTATCACCAAGCCTCATGCAGTCGCCACGGCAAGTCCCAGAACGGTCTTGTGGCTCCATGCGTTCGTTCGAAGCGGCCTTCCGAGTGACCTTCCAGCAGAAACGTACGTCTGCCGCTCTCCATTCCGCGACACGCCTACAAAAAGCGCAGCCCTCACTCTTTTCATCATAGTCAATTCTTAACTCACATCCACAAACACATACATATACGATCATCATCGCCCGACCTCTCTCATCTTGATCTCATCAACGCACCGACGACCGTCAAGCAACAGCGGGCAACACCTACACGACTACAGACTACGTCTTTACCTTGCCGCGCCTGGGTCGTTGACTGCACCTCACGCCCCAGTCGCGGCAGCCTGCTGCGGCGCACCCGCTAGTATGTGCTCTGCACAGAACGCAGCTGCATCGCCCCGCCGGCAGAGCGACACACCCGCTAGTATGTGCTCTGCACAGAACGCAGCTGTGGCGCTTTGCCGCGGAGCAAGCCAGGGCGGCGCACCCGCTAGTATGTGCTCTGCACAGAACGCAGCTGCATCGCCTTGCCGGCAGAGCGACACACCCGCTAGTATGTGCTTTGCACAGAACGCAGCTGTGGCGCTTTGCCGCGGCGCAGGCCAGGCGGCGCACCCGCTAGTATGTGCTCAGCACAGAACGCAGCTGCATCGCCCCGCCGGCAGAGCGACACACCCGCTAGTATGTGCTTTGCACAGAACGCAGCTGTGGCGCCTTGCCGCGGCGCAGGCCAGGCGGCGCACCCGCTAGTATGTGCTCTGCACAGAACGCAGCTGCATCGCCCCGCCGGCAGAGCGACACACCCGCTAGTATGTGCTTTGCACAGAATGCAGCTGTGGCGCTTCGCGGCGGCGCAGGCCAAGGCGGCGCACCCGCTAGTATGTGCTCTGCACAGAACGCAGCTGCATTGCCTGCCGGTGCACGTGGGAGCCTGTTGGGCGCTGGTGCCACCAAGGGTGGGCCAGCTGCCTGGTGGGTGGTTGTGGGGATCAGGAGTGTGGAGGTCACAACCTTAAATCCCTTCAAGGGAACCTGATCAAACTCTTCCAGACATGACATGCGCGGCCCAAGTCCAGCTCTGCTGCTGCAGCGAGGTGAGGTGGGGGGCCTCATTTAGGGATCGCGCTTCATTTCCAATACAGCCGGCGTTCAAAGCGCTGGCTATTTTGACTTGTTTCTTCTGCACGCCACCAGAGAGCATGCACGACATCCGTGTTCTCATTCTGGGCCTGCACTTGCTATCGTTGCCGCGGGCCGGCCGCCACACCGCAACAGCTGTGCGCCTTGCTTTCTTTCCTTGTATTTGAGTGTTGAGCTGCCAACGCATTCCGCTGTCTGTGTTGCTTTCATTCCGTTGTCTGTGATGCACGCCTGGATAGACATCGCAGGAGGAATCCATGCCGCTAGATCCAGCCTCCTGCCTCATCTCAAAACGCATGCGCCGGTCTGGCTAATGCTCCTGACCTTTTTGCAACTGGGCAAGCCGGGACTAGGCTGCAAGGCAACATTCTGCCAATGGATGGCCGCGTCGTCGACACCATGGTCATGCGCCCCGCCCATGTGACCCGACAGCTCATCATGTCATCCAAGACAACAAGCGCCAAGTTTTTACATCAATCATGCATGTGGACGCCCCTGCGCACCCGCATCCCTTCCCAAACTCGTAAGCCAGCCAGGGCGAGCCCAACGCGGCGTTCAAGGCGCGGCGCCGCCACGCCGCCTCATCCCCACCGTGTCAGGCGCGCGGGGCAGGGGGGGGCAGAGGGAGGGAGCAGCGCGGCAACAAATGCAATGTAGCCCCGCCGTACTTCTTCTAGCGACCTGAACGAGCGAGGCCCGCCGAAACAAGCCCCACTTCAGAGGCTGCCGGGCGCGGTGCGCCCGGGGCCCGCCCGACGTGCGCAGGGGGACCCCGGCTGCTGCGCGCCCTTTCTGCTGCCAGGTCAGATCAGACCTGATCAGATCAGATCAGATCGGATCACGCGAGGTTGAGCTCCTTGAAGAGCGCCCACTCGAGGACGCCCTTGATCATGCCCACGCCGGCCAGGGTGTCGGGGGAGGGGTCGTTGTCAACGCCGATGGCCATCACCGCCTCCTCATTACGCGCCGTGCGGGACACCTGGGGGACAGGG